CCCGCATCGCCAGTTCTGCTTACCAAAAATGGCCCACTTGGAGCTTTCATTGATCCTCGGGGTTCGCTTAAGCAACCCCGAAATCTTACCTATTTCAAGTTTGAGAATAAGTCGAGGGTGTTTCACCCCCGAGGCCTCTAATCATTCACTTTACCCGATAAAACTGTTCAACAGCTCCAGCTATCCTGTGGGAAACTTCGGAGGGAACCAGCTACTAGACGGTTCGATTAGTCTTTCGGCCCTATACCCAAGTCCGACGAACGATTTGCACATCAGTATCGCTGCGAGCCTCCACCAGAGTTTCCTCTGGCCTCGCCCTGCGCAGGCATACTTCACCATCTTTCGGGTCCCAACGGGCATGCTCACACTCAAACCTCTCACAGCAGATCGTGGTTGGCGGACGGTGCACCCGCAAAGGGTTCCCACCACTCAGGTTTCTTCCGCCTTGTGGGCTAATCACCCACCGGCTCGCATGCACATTGAACTCCTCGGTCCGTGTTTCAAGACGGGTAGGATAGAGGAATTTCGCCAGCATCCCGAACACGCAGGAACCAAAACGGGCCCACCGAAAGAGACGCGTGCTCAAGGTCCTCGACTGCCGTGRCGGCCACCCGTGGGGGGTTTCAATCGCTCCCCACCGCAATGCCGGTCACAGCAGCCCATGCTGGCAGCCACCCCACGTCCAACAAGGGGGGCGACAACACAGTCGCCGTCCACCCCTGCCCAGACGGGAGCGCACGACTTCCCCTCCATCCGCTTCTCGCTCGGCAATTTCAAGCACTCTTTAACTCTCTTTTCAAAGTTCTTTTCATCCTTCCCTCGCGGTACTTCTTTGCTATCGGTCCCTCGCACATATCAGGCCTTGGATGGGACTTACCACCCAATTGGGGCTGCATTCCCAAGCAACCCGACTCTTGGACAACACCTCGTTGCGCAGCAGGGTCCGGCCGTCGACAGGGCTGTCACCCTCTTCGGCGTCCCCTTCCAGGGDACCTGCACACGGCCCGCTGCAGAGGTTGCCTCTCAAGACTACAATTMAGGGAGCAGCACAGCCCCCGGATTTTCAGTCTGGGCTATTCCCGGTTCGCTCGCCGATACCGAGGGAATCCTCCTTGGTTTCTCTTCCTCCGCTTAGTTATATGCTTAAATTGGGCGGGTGCTCCCGCCCGACCTGAGATCAAAAGGCAAGGCCCGACGTACCTCCACAGCTCGAGGC